GCTAATGACTATCTTCATGGTGTCGTGAGTTTGTTGCGATTACTAGGTCCTTTCTTATGGACCTCAGTTTTTTCATGCAACATGATTACTTGCTGTTGCTACAAACACTTTCGGGGTCCATTTCAGCGGCGTACAAGATTGTTTTTGGATTTTGATGGGAACTCCTCCGCCTAAACCGGTTCCTTTTCTAGGGGTACCGGACTGGAGTCTGCTTTTGAGCGTAGTTCAAACAGTCACTTCTCTGAAATATGACTTCTCTAAGAATCTCTAAGACATCGTTCCTTTTGGGGTCCTTATTGCAAGGCGGGCCCTTTTAGGGTTTAGGGTTTTAGGGTTTTAGGGTGTTAGGGTGTCTAGGGTGTTTAGGGTTTAGGGTTAAGGGTGGGTACCCAAAACAAGGGACCCTCATTTTCGCGAAATGCACAATTGGATGCTTCAGCAAAGCAACAAGGCAGCTTTTGGCATGGCTTGTGCAGGATGGTCCAGGGTTCAGCATCTCAAGTCCAAGCATTCACTAGTCAAGCAGCTTGTCAAGCGTCGGAAAAAAAACCACCCACCCAAGAAACCCATAACATTGAGAAAATATAAAGTTCAACCAATACTTGCCCGGTAGGCTTAAAGCTCAAAGTCCAGTTGGTCCAAAACCCACAATAGACCCCAGACCGTATGCCCCAAATCCTAAACCCTATGCCCCAAACCCCAAGAGTCCTAAACCCTATGTCCCAAGTCCTACAGCCCTAATTCCTATGCCCCAAACCCTAAGAGCCCTAAACCCTATGTCTACTTTGGTTGTTCCCTGGTGCCTTATCCAATATGGGCTGTCCCGGGGCCCCCCCCGGGACGGGTTGTCTTGGGGCGTCCTGGGGAGTCTGCAATGGTGATTTTCGGGCACTTCAAAAGTCGGCAACGGTGAATTTCGGGCACCTCAAAAGTCGGCAACAGTGAAATTCACCGTTGCCGACTTTTGAGACCCCCCGAAATTCACCGTTGCCGACTTTTGAGGCCTCGCGAAATTCACCGTTGCCGACTTTTGAGGCCCCCCGAAATTCACCGTTGCCGACTTTTGAGGCCCCCCGAAATTCACCGTTGCCGACTTTTGAGGCCCCCCGAAATTCACCGTTGCCGACTTTTGAGGCCCCCCGAAATTCACCGCTGCCGACTTTTGAGGCCCCCCGAAATTCACCGTTGCCGACTTTTGAGGCCCCCCGAAATTCACCGTTGCCGACTTTTGAGGCCCCCCGAAATTCACCGTAAATTCACCGTCGCCGACTTTTGAGGCCCCCCGAAATTCACCGTTGCCGACTTTTGAGGCCCCCCGAAATTTCGGGCACCTCAAAAGTCGGCAACGATGAATTTCGGGGGGCCTCAAAACTCGGCAACGGTGAATTTCGGGAAGCCTCAAAAGTCGGCAACAGTGAAATTCACCGTTGCCGACTTTTGAGGTGCCCGAAATTCACCGTTGCCGACTTTTGAGGTGCCCGAAATTCACCATTGCAGACTTTTGAAAGCGAAATTCACCGTTGCCGACTTTTGAATTAGGGTTTAAATTATCATATGATAGAGAGGTTTAGGGTTTAGGGTTTAGGGTTTAGGGGAGCTTCCGCGGGAGTCCGGGAGCCCTATAACCCAAAGAGCCCTGTATACCCCTTGATTCAGGAAAATAGGAGGTTTAGGGATACCTCCTTTGTTGAGGGAGAATACCTTGCATCAGTAGCCCGGGATTGAAGGTCTATTTCCGTCATTCAAGGGTATAAAGGGCTCTTTGGGAAGCCCGATGAACAGGACCCTTTTTCGGGTTGGTGACTTTAACCTGGAACCAAAAAAAGGCAAAGGGTACCACTGGGTTTCCAAGGAGAGGGATGTCACCCGAAACCCTAATTCCTAAACCCTAAACTGGCCCTAAACCCCAACCCTGTCCTGCTTGACCCTCTTCCCGGCGCCGGCAGCGGCACCACCGTCGGCGTCGGACGCGCGCTTCGGGCGCGTCGGGCCTGTGGGTGAACAGAGCTAGGGTTTAGGGTTTAGGGTTTAGGGCTTAGGGTTTAGGGCTTAGGGCTTCGGGCTTACGGCTTAGGGTTTGGGGTTGAGGGTTGAGGGTTTAGGGTTTAGGGTTTACGGTTTCGGGGCTTTGGGTTTGGGGCTCTAAGGATTGAAGGCTTAGGGATTAGGGTTCAGGGTTTTGGGGCTTTGGGCTTCCCAATAAAAAACGACCTCCGCCTCCGCTGCCAGTGCGGCTGCCTGATCACGTCTCTCTCCTTCTCTCTCTCTCAGTTGTTCTCTTTCTCTCTCTCTCTCTCTCTCTCTGCCTGCACTCTCTCTCTCTCTCTCTCTCTCTCTCCCCAATAAAAAACGATCTCCGCCTCCGCTGCCGGTGCGGCTGCCTGACAACGTCTCTCTCCTTCTCTCTCTCTCAGTTGTTCTCTTTCTCTCTCTCTCTCTCTCTCTCTCTCTCTCTCTCTCCTCTCTCTCTCTCTCTCTCTCTCTCTCTCTCTCCAAGCTAAGAGCAACGCGCTTCTGGATGCAGGAGCCTCACATACGCACACATGCACACGCACTTACGCACGCACTTACGCACGCACTTACGCACGCACTTACGCACGCACCACCAGCCATGCCTTCCTCTTGCGCCGATGGAGGCGCTTGGCATTGGCGGGGGCCACCTTTCCCATGCACCGTCTCACTCTCTCTCACTCTCTCTCTCTCTCTCTCTCTCTCTCTCTGCCTCTCTCTCTCTCTCTCTCTCTCTCTCTCTCTCTTTCTCCCTCTCTCTCTCGCACCAGCCTTGAACCGCTTTGCAGGCCTTGACTCCTTCAGGCGCTGTCCGGACACAGCTTCTTGATCTGTCTCTCTCTCTCTCTCTCTCTCTCTCTCTCTTTCTCTCTCTGCTTTCTCACTCTCTCTCGTTCTTTCTATCTACTCTCTCTTGTTTTGTTCTCTCTCTCGATCTGAGGCGGGAACGTCCTTGGAGGTCACCGGCTCCTCCTTTCTTTTCTCTTTGTCTTTCTCGCTCTCTCTCTCTCTCTCTCTCTCTCTCTCTCTCTCTCTCTCTCTCTCTCTCTCTCTCTCTCTCTCTCTCTCTCTCTCTCTCTCTCTCTCTCTCTCTCTCTCTCTGTCTCTGTCTCATTTCGCATGCATCGGCCACGTCGTCCTTGTCCTCGTCGGCGTGCCCAGCTTCCTGAAAAACCACACTGTTACTTGCTCGCTTTCTTGTTTTCTCTGTCTTCCTCTCTCCCTCCCTCTCTCTCTCTCTCTCTCTCTCTCTCTCTCTCTCTCTCTCTCTCTCTCTCTCTCTCTCCCTCTCTCCCTCTCGCTCTCTCTCCCTCTCTCCCTCTCGCTCTCCCTCGCTCTCTCACACTCCACCGAGGCAGAAGCCAGCGCAGCCGGCTTACCTTTGGCAGAGGCCGAAGTAGAAGCCTCGGCCCACAAGCTTCCCCCGCAAGAAAAACAAGGGAGACCGAAGCGACTCGTCAAGAACCCGGCCTTCCGTGGGCGCACGTCATCCTCAGCAGCACCACGAGCCAAAAAAAAAGCAAACACCAAACCACCACATACACGCACAGACAGAGACATGGAACAGCAAGCACAACATCACAAGCACAAATGGTGACACAGAGGAAACCCCCCCCCCCCCAGGAGACCACGAAACACACGCTAAACAGTGGCACCTTACCGGACGCGGGAACACAACGAGCCTGGCGGTGCGTCTTGCGGATCTTCCCCTGACGTGCGACCGACAAGGAGGTGGCCCAGGCTTGAAAAGCTGGACGTTCTGGTTGCCGTCTTGTTCTCCTTCAGCTGGCTCCTCGTCCACCACAAGCCGGAATCCTTCAACACCGGTGTCACCAGGACGACCCGAACCTTCTGGCAGGGCTGCAATGTAAAATCGTTTTCGAGGTGCATGATCCACGGCCTCACGAAAAGTCACCCGACGAGCTTGTCGCCGTCGGTGCTCTTCAATCTGCGAATCCACCAAAAAAGATGCTCATTCCAAATATACAGTCGGATTCCGTGCCTCGGCGCGGTACTCCGGAAGATCCCGTTCCTTGTCGATCAAACAAGCAACCGTAGTGAACACTTCAAGATATTGGGCGCGATGACTCGGGCTCGCGCCGCCTCTTCCAGCCGTCGCACGATGAGAACCATCGCGTCCATGCAACCGGACACTACTCAGACCTAAAAAGATCGATAAGTGATCGATGGGCAGGGTAGGGCAATGTTTTCTGCTACTCAGACAGGGATGAATTGTTGGTCAAAAGATTGCAGTGGTATCAGCAGATTGCTCGGAGCTCCGAGTTGCACAGTATTTGGTTTGCATGCATGTTTGGGATGTTTGGTTTCGAACGCTATACCACCATTGAACATGACGGCAACTTCCACAGAGATGCCAACCCATGGGCACAGCAGTTTCAAAATGACATTTTGGAGCACCTGCTGCGTTTCGAAGATGGAGCAGTCCTGGTTTCCCTTCTCGAAAATCGACCTCTGCGGATTTTTACAGACCTTCAAGAGCCGTTCATCAAGCTTGATGTGTCCCCAATTCGTCTCAAGCATTTTGCAGTTTGCATCCCTCCACCTGAATATGTTGCTAGCCCAGAGGTTTCAGCAGCCGAAGACGGTGGGGTGGCAGAGCTGGATGAGCCTTCTTTCCGATGCACATGCTTATGTGAAGATGGCACACCGTGCACGTCCACTTTCAAGAGCAAACAGCAACTTTCGGTTCACGTTCGCTCTACACAAAGGGGTACGCACGCAGTCATTCCAGATTACAGAAAGCTGGCAATCACGAATCAATGCCCATTTTGCCGGCATGTGTTCAGCAGCAAGCGCACTGCGCAACAACACATCAGGCGAGCCTTGTGCAATCAGATATGCACTGGAAATGGTAGCGCTGTGGTGTTTGAGCCAGACATTCCCAGCGACATTGTTTGCCCATACTGCTCAGTTGCTTTTACATCATTGTCACAGTTGTGGGATCATGTGGTCCAACATGTGGCTGGCGCTTAGGCTTGAAGGCTTCGGGCTTGTGTGAGATGGGAACTGTGAGCACTGCCGTTTTGTTCTGGTGTCTCGAAGTCTCCCACCTCCTCATTGCCTGTGCATTGCACCCTCACATCGACGCTGATGGTCTGCAGGTCTTGTCTGTAAAAACATACATCTATATGTGTATATTATATATATATATAGAGAGAGAGAGAACAAAAACAACAAAAAGGGCCCTTACATCCTGAACCCACGACTTGCAGGGACTTCCTGCCGAAATTGTGCGCAATCTCCAGCAAGCCGCCCCTTGCCCGACGGCCTGCATCTGGGTCGGGCGCTGCCACGGCATCTGGCTGCCTTCGCGAAGGAGCAACAGGGTTCGGGTTCGGGGTTTAGGGTTTAGGATTTAGGGTCTGGGGTTTAGGGTTTAGGGTTAGGGCTTGAAATGCGCCAGCAACTTGTGACTCTCTATTGGCAGCTCCTCTGCTACTGTGCTTGTTCTGCTCCTTCTTCTGGATCCGGCTTGAGTCCTTCTCTCTTATGTGTCGGCATCCGGTACAGGTCCTGTAAGCCTGCTGTGGCGAGGTCTCTGTCACAGAGTCTGGTGAGCCAGCAGCAGCATGAAGTTTTCGTCGTGGGCTCCTGGTGCTGACTTCCGGAGACACTTGCTCTGCGGACTTGGCACCTTTGTGCTTCTTCACCGACTTAAAGGGTCAAGGGTTTAAAAGTTTAGGGCTTAGGGTCGACACTCGGCATCGGTTGGGGTTGCCAAACTGCTTGGCCCTTGCACACATCCCAAAGCCCTAGACCGTAGAGGAGACAACTTGAAGCTAGTTAGGGTACGTCTGCAGCTAGGGTTTAGGGTTTAGGGTATAGGGTTTAGGGTTTAGGGCGCGCGCACACACACACACACACACTTTTCAAAGCCTAACCAAAACGCCGAAGCCCTATGACTGAAATCCTGCACCCGAAACACAGCAGAACCCTCTGCCTGGCGCACAGCGCTTGCCAGAATGCTTCTGTCTCCACGCTGCGGGTGCGCTCATCTCAGCCGCAAGGCAGGAGGATTGCAAGATTGCAACTGAGGGACCTCAAGGTACTGGCCTGCACACCCCTTTGCCGTTACCTGACTTTCAATATGTGCTTTGCGTTGACTTGGGAGGGTGTAAAGACAATTGGTTTTGGGTATTTCGGGGGTTCAAGGGAGGGCAGGTAGGGTTTGGGATAGCAAAAGAAAGGAGCAAAAAAAACAACTGTTATCTGAGCTATGTCTTCAACCATCTTCTGTATATGCGAAACCAGGCTTTAAACAGGCTTGTATAATTAGAAGCCATGAGAAAAACCAATATTTTAACTTCGCACCTGACAACCGTAACCCAACCCAAACCCTAGACTACATGTGCTTAAGAACCCCCTCCCAAAAAGGAAAAACAAATAAATGTACATACATATAATAAATAAATATATATATATATATATATAGATAGATATATATTTTCCTAAATACCTTAACAAATTGTTTTTGGGGGGTCCTTAAGCAACTAGAAGTCAACCCCAACTCTGCCCCAGGTTCGCTCAGAACCCAGCTTGCAGCCACCCGCCGGATGTCTTCCAGAACCTCAGGTTCGGGTTCGGGGTTTGGGGTTGAGGGTTTGGGGTTTGGGGTTTGGGGCTTGGGGTTTAGGGTTCAGGGTTCAGGGTTTAGGGTTTAGGGTTAGGGTTTAGGGTCCAGAATGCGCAAAAGAGTTTGTGAGGCCCTTGTGCTGACAAGCAACTTGCAAGTGCGTGTAAGCCGGAAGAGCCGCCCGACTCCGTTAAACAGCATGTTCAGAAAACTTGCCTTACCTCGCACAAAACGATTGAGCGCCAGATTCACGAGTGAAACCCCAAACCCGAAGCCCTAAACCCTAAACCCTAACTGTGTCAACTGACCGATTCGTATCTTTGACGATAACTGGATCCCCACTGTGGGGTGTTGAAGGACGATGTATGCCATGTATGCTGGATGGAGGCAAGCCCAAACCCAAAGGATCCATGTACCTATATAGTATATACTTGGCCCTTAAAGGGGTTCCTATATAGTAGCTTTAGGGCCCAAGCATATATACCATACAGGTACATGGATCCTTTAGGAAAGAGCCCAAGACCCCTTAATAGAGGGATTGTATTGTATATAGACTAAGTTATACCACAACTCATATTCAGGACCCCCATATAAATTGTGGCACGGTATATCTATCTACTGTTGTAGACTTTAGATTATACCACAAATCATATTCAGGACCCAAATATAGATTCTGGTGTATTATTGGGCCCCTTTGGGCAAGCCTGACTCTAGGCGCAGTGGGCCGTCTTCAGGCCAGCGCTCGGTCTCAGATCTCAAAGTCTATACTCCCCTTAGAATCTTAAAAAAATAAGCGTTTGAATATCATCTTGTGTGTATATGAACTAAATAAAAAAATCCCCAAGGGGATATGGAAGAGACCATCTTCTGCCCTTCATTTGCTTGCGTGCACAGGAACCCTAGAAACCCTAAACCCTTGCTTGCATGCAAAGTGGCCGTCTTCAAATGGCCGGCACTCATGTTGTTCCTTGGCGCCACCCCAGTTCAGGCCGCGCAGGCTTGGGTGTGGGTCTTCGGGTCCTCAAACGTTAAACCTATAAACCTTTACAACCCCGAACCCTAAAACTAATGAGGCTTAGTATGTAGGGCGGAGTTCGACACATAGATACACGATCTAAACAACCGTAGTGAGAACAAAGTGAAACTCAAGCTACGCCTTTGCCTCTCAAAGACTTGCGCCCTGCGCGCGAAAGTCAATGACAATGATGCAACAAACATTCGTTCACGTGACCAGGATCTCTGCTCTAAGTGAGCCAAACCCTGAACCCTGAACCCTGAACCCTAAACCCTAAACCCTAAACCCCGAAAGAGTCCCAGGCACTGCCACCACGCCTGATCCCTGGATCGACGGGCTCCCTTCAAAAGCAACTCCAAGTTCTCGCCTGGGGGGCTTGCGGACGTTTCGGAACCCGTTTAGGACATAGGGTTTAGGGTTTAGGGTTAGGGTTTAGGGTTTAGGGATTAGGGTTTAGGGTTTAGGGTTTAGGGTTTAGGGTTTAGGGTTTAGGGTTTAGGGTTTAGGGTTTAGGGTTTAGGGTTTAGGGTTTAGGGTTTAGGGTTTAGGGTTTAGGGTTTAGGGTTTAGGGCTTCCGGGGGGGGAGAGGGGAGGGGGAGGGGAGGGGGGAGGGGAGGGGGGGGGAGGAGGGGGGAGGGGGGGGGGAAGGGGGGAGGGGGAGAGGGGGAGGGGGGAGGGGGGAGGGGGGGGGAGGGGAGGGGGGAGGGGAGGGGGGAGGGGAGGGGGGGAGGGGGGAGGGGGGAGGGGAGGGTAGGGATGAGCTGGGAAGTCTGGAGTTGTTCGCGTGATGTGGGGGGTGCGTCTAGGGGTTCAGGGGGGTTGAGGGTTGCTTGGGGGCTTTGGGGAGTTTTGGGTTGAGGGTTTAGGCCTGATGTATTCGGAAATGAGGGCATTAGGGCATGAGGGTATCCAGGTATGAGTATTTAGTGGGTTCTTGAAAGCCTTTTTCGAGAAGGCAACAAAAGTGGTGGGGTCCCTAAACCCTAAACCATAAATCCTAAACCCTAAAGCCAAACCCTACATGAGACCGGCTTCCCGTAGCGTTCCGATATTGCAGAACCACCAGCCCCGAAAGGCATGCTAGAGCACCAGATTTCTGACTTGGGTGAGCGATGTCACTTTCTACCCCAAGGCTCATATGTAGTACCTTTTTTGGGGGTAGTATACTAGGATCCCCTATAACTAACCCCAAAAAGGACCTACATTGGAGTCTTCCCAAGCTCCTTACACATTCTGTGCCCTGCTGATTGGCTGGAGGGGGCAGTGAAGGGGCGGGGCCAATGTTGAAAGATGTCAAGCGCTTCTGCCAGAGCAGGACAGCGGCTTCTCCACATAGGATTCAGAGAGGTCCCCAGTTGCCTAGGAAAAAAAGCAAGGCTCCGAATTTCGAACCGCATTCGGCGGTTTTTTATGAGGAACCAAAGGCCCCCCCCCGAAGAAGGGTTCATGCTGAAAGCCCTAAACCTTCACCCCCGAGATTCAGAGGATTCCGAGTTTGCGGGACGGGGCAGCGGAAGGTACTTGGAGGTTCAGGGTACTTATTTAACCCAAGTACATACTACAACTGTACCTATATCCCCATTTGTAACCATGCTAGGGCCCTTAAGGGGCTTACATGTGGGGTATAAGTACAGTTCTAACTGCATGGGTTTTAAGTACCATGAACCTCCAGGTAAACCCTACACCCTAAACCCTAAACCCCAATTAAACCCTAAACCCTAACCCTTAACCCTTAACCCTTAACCCTTGACCCTAAATCCTAAACCCTAAGCCCTAAACCGAAAACCAAAAAGTAAGAGGGGAGGCTGGGGCTGCGGCAGTTCCAATTCAGGAAGCTCCTCGGTTGGGTCGGGGATGCGGTTTAGGGTCCATGGATTGCTTAGGGGCCCCCCGGGGCCTGGACCCTGAACCATAAAAACCTGAACCTTTTGAACACTAGACACGACCCTATAGCCTTAAACCTGGACCCCAAACACCTGCGTCCTTCCTGGAAGCCACAAGCCTCAGCCCCTCATCCCCATAAAGTTAGAGGCCCTACGCCCCTAAACCCCCATACAAATCTGCTAAATCCCTAGAGACCCAGAGAGCCCAATGCCCCTTAAACAAGCAATATACCTTAAATCACAAAGGGATCCTTAATATGATTTAAGGAATATTCCTTAATTAAGGGGTATTGGGCTCTTTGGGGACCGTTCAACCCTGACACTTGTGGGCACTCGAGGCTTCTCCCTCCCAAGTGCGCGGTAAGTGGCTAAGTCTGCTACAGGTTCCCCAAAAGAGCCCTAAACCCTAAACCCTAAACCCTGAACCCTAAACCCTAAACCCTAAACCCTAAACTCTAAACCCTAAACCCTAAACCCTAAACCCTAAACCCTAAACCCTAGACCCCAACCATGAAGAGTGAGGGAAGCCCGGGCCTAAACAAAGACAAGCAAAACAAAGCACCTACGAAGGTCCTAGGTTACAGGTAGAAGCCCCAGAGCCCATCCCTGTCTCGGAGGCCGAAAGACCCTTTTAGGGTTTAGGGTTTAGGGTTTAGGGTTTAGGGTTTAGGGTTGAGGGTTTAGGGTTTAGGGTTTAGGGTTTAGGGTTTACGGTTTAGGGTTTAGGGTTTAGGGTTTAGACCCTTGAGACCCTTGAGGCTTAAGGCCCTTAAGGCCCTCAACCCTACACCCTGAACCCCCAAACCCTGAAGCCTATGGAGGTTGAAATTTACGGACTCACAACAAGAGCTGCAATTCGTGCTCTCGGTAGGGGTGGCATTTGGAGCAATACCCGAGAAGCGCTTTTCACAAGTCTATGCTTGCGCTGAGAGTACACGGACTTGTTTCAGCTGCGATTGAAAGTCCGTGGGGCAGGGGTGTTTCACAACTCCGATCTAACCCTAAGGGTCCATGTACCTCATTATTATGTACTTGGGCGCAAGTCCCTAAATAGGGGGCATACTTTAAGGGGTTTTGGGGCGGCCAGCTCCCTCTGCCGGACTGACAGCTACTTTTCTGGTTTGACATTTAGGGCGTTTCAGGGCTCTGTGGCAACCACGCAAAGGCAGCCCGAGGAGCTCGTAGAAAGTAAGGTTCAGCTCGCTCCCCACCACCAGGGTAGCGTGCGGCAAGCCTGCTTCAGTAGAACCGCGCACGAGCAAGGACTCTTAGACGAACATGACAGCTCACCATACCCCCACGCAAACTAAATTGCCAAAGGCCCGAAGCCCTAAACCCTAAACCCTAAACCCTAAGCCCTAAGCCCTAAGCGCTAAGCCCTAAGCCCTAAGCCCTAAGCCCTAAGCCGCAAGCAGCGCAGGCGTGCCACGCAGCCTCCCGAGAAGCTCGCAACATCCTGCGGTTGGACTTAAGGGGGCTTCTGGGGATGTAGGGCTCAGGCTTCAGCCCATCAGTCCTAAACCCTATACTAATATATTTATATATATATACTAGTATATATATATATATACAAGTATATATATATACTAGTATATATATATACTAGTATATATATATATGTATATATATATATATATTTGCTTCAGAACCCCCCCCCCCCCAAAAAAAAAAATAAATAAAATAAATAATAATAAATAAAAATAAAGATGAGTAATCCCTACATTTTCCTTATGAGGAAGATTTGTTTTTGGTGGGTGCTCTTAAGCAATTCATAGTATACCCTGCTATGCCCAGCAAGCACCTCTTGAGAAACCGCGATTCGCCCACCATAATCTGTGCAAAACCCAGCTTCCCCAACCACCGGCGCAAAAAGGGCGCCTTCTTCGCGGAATTTGGTTTATGAGAGTACGGGTGCTAAGTCCTAGGTCCTAGACCCTAGACCCTACACGCTAAACCCTAAACCCTAAACCCTAAACCCTAAACCTCCCCCAACCCTGAACGTCCTTGGGCCGCAGCAGGGCCACGGATCGCGCAGTGCTCAACGCACGCTCTTGCACTGCGCCTGGGAACGCAAGGGCTTCGGAGGTTCGGGTTTAGGGGCTCAGGGTTTAGGGCTAGGGTTTAGGGTTTAGGGCTAGGGTTTAGGGTTTAGGTTTTAGGGTTTATATAGGTTTTGGGGTTTAGGGCTCAAGAAATATCCAGCATTGCTACGGACCCGTAACTTTCAGGCACATGGGTTTGGGGCATTGTGGTGCTTCCTGCAATTTCCAGGGTTCGGGTTGCAGGGCTCAAGTTGGGGGTTGAGGGTTTTGGGCTTAGGGCTTAGGGTTTAGGGTTTAGGGTTCAGGGTTCAGGGTTTAGGGTTTAGGGTTTAGGGTTGAGGGTTCAGCGTTGCATAGTCCCACAAGTCACGGGCCATAAACTCAAAAGCATGCTGAAGACGTGGACCACATATGTGCCCCGACGCCAATCGTACTTCGTTGTCGGGTGGGGAGCACCCATAGTTCCCCAATATGATAGAAGGTGCTGACCAGACTCTGACTTGACCCTAAACCCCAAACCCCAAACCCCAAACCCTAAACCCTCGGTACCCTAAACTGGGGGTGCTGCAGTTAAGCCTTAAACCTTACTTGAAGGTTCATGCTGCTTACTAACCAATTCTAACTGGGCTTATAACCCTACTCATAATTGGGATAACCCCTATAAGGCCCTTTAGGGGTATTATAAGTAGGGTTATAAGTACAGTGATAATTGGTTAGTAAGTACCATGAACCTTCAAGTAGACCCTGCGAAGCCAGACTTCAGTGGCCGAGCAGAGGGGTCAAGACGCGGGCGCAGACCTCCACACCCTGAAGCCAAGAGGCAGAACCCCAATGTCTCGAAGCAACCAAGAACCCTGAACCCTCAGAGACCAGAATAGAACCATGATGCCCTAGCTCACGGGGAGTTGTATGTCTTCAGAATGACAATCCATGGACCGCTCAAGTTCTGAAGAGCTTGCTACTGGTAGCGGTTCCTCTGGGTCTAGGGTTGAGGGCTTAAGGGACGAACCGTCTTCACTGGGGGATTTGGGGAATGCGCCCTTCAGTGGGCAAGCACTTGACTCTCTCACATCTCACGAAATTTAGCATATCGCTTGGGCTTTGTAGTTGCTTGTCTGAGGTCTGGACTCAGCGGCCGTCGAAAGAGCTCTCCACCACAGGTTTTTAGAACATCGGAGTCTGAGGCAGGCTTCACGGCGGAAGGTCAAGCATCCGAAGACCCGTGTGGTTCATGGGTTTGCAAGGAGACATGTTCAGCGCAAATTGAGACCGAGGACTTAGGGTTTAGGGTTGAGGGTTATGGACTTGGATGTTCCCCCTTATACTAACAGTCCCGAATAGGGATTTCAATGGGGGGGGGGGGGGGGGGACGATACCCCCTAGGAAGGACTGTTAGTATATGGGGGACCAGCAACAAGCAGCAGCGTCCAAGGAAATGAGCAGCACAAGATGGACTAGGGTTCGGGGTTTAGGGTTTAGGGTTCAGGGTTTAGGGTTTCGGGTTTAGGGTTTCGGGTGTGTCAAATGCTTCGGCTTGTCCAAGGCTGATAGTTGCAACTCTGCACCCGGCGAACCCCCTGTTCCCACCACGTCGGTTCAACACACACACACACAGATACATAATGTATACATAATATCATTCTATATCTATATGTATGCAAATATATATATATATATATATGCATATATGTGAAGAGAGAGAGAGAGAGAGAGAAAGAGAGAAAGAAAGATAGATGGAGAACTTGGGGTCCTTCTCTGGCATTGCTGCCGATCTTGTCACAACACAAACATCCGACATGGCCTAGGGGTCCTGAAATTTGAATGCCGATCTCAGGGTAGTTACATGGCCCCTTGGTCTGAGCCTTTAAAAGTAGACTTCTTATATACCCCCTTTTAGATAGCGCGTACAACCCAAGGGGCGCATACTTCAGAACCCTGGAAGGGAGGCAAGCCATGAAGCTACCCCTGGAGCTGAGGGAATCCTGAGTTGGTATGCCACTTCGATGCCCCCTCCATCCTCCCCCGATGCTGGGGCCCCACCCCCCCTAGAGTTTAGGGTTTAGGGTTTAGGGTTCAGGGCTGATCTTCAAGGTCCTTCTAATGCGATGGACTAGCCAGGGCTACTAGGGCTTCACAAGAGAGTATAGCCCATCATTCATTTGAATCACGCCCGTTTTGGGGAGACAGTTACCTTGGGGAGGCATTGAAGCTGCTTGGACCTACTCCCCCATAGACAGGGAAATACGTCCGCGTTTGGGGTTTGGGGGGGAAGAAGCCGTAATGGAATCTACTAAGAGAGTTCAACATTGAGGTGAAGCGTTGTCAGCGCAATACTTGGTTCGTTCATGCGCCTCAACCGTAAATCCTAAACCCTATAATCCAGAACAACTGTGCCTGGACCCCAAACAGCGACGATCTTGTGGCCGAGGAAATTCTTGGCAATGTTGCTCCACCAAGCCTGGCAATTGTTGGCCTAGGGTTCAGGGTTTAGTGTTTAGGGTTTAGGGTTTCGATGCTAGTGCTTCAGTTCTCTTACTTCGGGTTCAAGGTCGCTCTTCTCATAGCTTGGATGGGATGCCTCCCCGGGCGGCGGGCGTTCCTTCATAGCAGCATTTGGGCCGCCAATTACATTCCATATTACCCCAAGGCTCCATACACCCACAAGAGTCACAAGAGTATATACTTGGCCCGTCTAGGGTTCAGGGTTCAGGGTTGAGCGTTTACCCTTGACAGATGGCTCTGTCAGGGCTTAGGATTTAGGAGCTTCACGAACGGCTCATATAGCTACGCCTGTAATGAACAACCCTAAACCCTAAACCCTAAACCCTAAACCAACACAGCATCTCCCCTCCACTCAGAAACGCCTGGTCGACGTGGAGGCAGATCCCGGCGTTCGCGGCGCCCACGAAGGCGTGGCCACGATCAAAGAGCGGCAGCTGTGGACAAAGATCCTTGCAGATTTGGTTTAGGGTTTAGGGTTTATTGGTTCTGAGTTCAGAGTTTCGGGTTTCGGCTGCTTCTGCCAACCTTTACCTAGACCTCTAATCGTAGTTGCGTTCTCGGGGTGCCTCATGTCAGTGCTATGCTTGATGTCTGGGGAAAGCCTTTCTACCCCCAAATAGAGTAACTTAGTACAACCCCTACAACCCCCTGAGCCCCACCCTACGTGTGAGGAATCTTCATACCATTAGAGGTCGCAGGAATGCTTCGCTGGGCCACGGGGTGGAAGATACACCCTGACACGCAATCCTGAACCATTACCCAAAGAGCCCTTCGTACCCGTAGGCATATGCAAGAAGTCATATAGGGATCCTTAATATGACTCAAGGTACATTCCGAAATTCCGGGGTACTGGGCTCTGGGTAACAAAGGTTTAGGGTTTAGGGCTTAACCGCATAAACAAGGTGACCGGCCACAATGTGTATGAACCATGAACACGCGCAGTTTGTTACGGACTTCGGGCAAACAAACCTGGCCCCGAAACCCCAAATCTTACTGTTGAGGCTTACAAGATATGTCTTAGCCCTAGCTGTATATGCAGGTAAATACTATACGAAACCCTGGACATTCCGACGAGGAAGCCCTACAAGAAAGCGCCTCAACTGCGAGTCTTCACTATCTTGAGGGCCCGCACAGCCCCTTAGCTCCGGCAGGGTGGGTGCAGCGTGAGCCTTTCCTCAATTGGCCGAAAGACATCCCTCAAACACTTGTCGTTTCCCAGAATGCAACCAGCTAAACTGAAAGGTTAGAGAGTTAGAAGGTATGTACGACAGACAACAGTGGGATCAGGGGCCGAAGGCCCAGAACACGGAAGCCTCCCTACGACTTCTAGAGACCCGAAGCCCCAAAATGCCTTCCTCCAAGAACCCAACCTTGAACCCTGCACCTGGACACTCAAAGCACCCAGAACAAGCGGCTGCAGCCGGAACATGAGGGGAAAATCCACCATCATCCTGGGTCTTTCGGAGCTCCAAACCCTAAGCCGTAAGCGGGCCCTGAACCCTTCAAACCTCAAACCCTAAACTTACCCAAAGGCCCCTATGTAGTACCTTTTTGGGGTAGTATACTAGAATCCCCTATAACTGACCCAAAAAGGAACTACATTGGAGCCTTTGGGTAAACCCTCCACCCTAAAAAACTGAGACCCTACGCCCAGACGAGCGCCTTGACGTCCGCCGTGGTGAGCGTGTCCGTGTGCTCGCCCGAGGAGGGGTGTGGGCACCTGCAAGGTGCTCCGGGGTTAAGGTTTAGGGTTTAAGGTTTAGGTTTGGGGTTTAGGGTTTAGGGTTTAGGGTTTGGGGTTTCAGGTGTGGGGTTCGGTTCATGTGCCCTTTTGAACTGCGGGGCGGCCATAAGTAGTGGTACTTTATAACGTTCTAGCTGAAGGGTTCCAGGGGTCAGACTCACACGTATGTGTGTTTGTATGTACATATATATATATATATGTACATGTCCATATTCATTGGGCACTGCTCTGCCACAGTAACAGTACACAAGCACAATGCAAACCTGGAACGTTGTGTGTTTACAGATCTTCACCTGCCCACCCCCCCCCACCCCCCAACTCCCTCCCCACCCCCCCTTTCGAGAGAATCAACACACTCACACATATGAAAACTCAGAGCACCACGCGCATGTCTTTCTCGCATTCTGTGTTGCTCTGGGTGGGTCATGAGCGCCGCCAAGCTCCATGGGATCCGCGCAGGTCGCGCATTCCGCCAAGGGGGGCCGTGCTCACCCCGAAGAAACTGACAACACTGAATGAACGTGGGTAGTGCACACAACACCTCAGAGATTGAGGCGAAGCATGATTAGTAGCGGTAGGTGTCGGGCTTGAAGGGGCCCTCGACCGGCACGCCGATGTAGTCGGCCTGCTCCTTGCTGAGCTTGGTCATGCTGGCGCCGAGTGCCGGGAGGTGGAGGGCGGCCACCTTCTCGTCCAGCTTCTTGGGCAGCAGGTACACGTCGTTCTTGTACTTCTTGGCCTTGGTGCAGTTCTCCAGGATGTCCAGCTGTGCCAGGACCTGGTTGGTGAAGGAGCAGGACATCACGAAGGAGGGGTGGCCTGTGGCGCAGCCCAGGTTCACCAGGCGGCCGGAGGCCAGCACGATGACGCCGTGGCCATCCGGGAACACGAAGCGGTCGACCTGCGGCTTGATGTTCTCAACCTTGATGCCCGGGCACTTCTCGAGGTCCTCCATGGCGATCTCGTTGTCGAAGTGGCCGATGTTGCACACGATGGCGTTGTTCTTCATCTTCTTCATGTGCTCCAAGGTGATGATCTTGAAGTTGCCCGTGGCGGATGTGAAGATGTCCACCTCGCCCACGACCTCCTCGAGGGTCACCACCTGGAAGCCCTCCATGCACGCCTGCAGCGCACAGATGGGGTCGATCTCCGTGATCAGCACTCGGGCACCGGCGCCGCGCATGGCGAAGGCGCATCCCTTTCCGACATCGCCGTAGCCCGCCACCAGGGCGCGCTTGCCACCGATCATCACGTCCGTGGCGCGCATGATGCTGTCCGGCAGCGAGTGGCGGCAGCCGTAGACGTTGTCGAATTTGGACTTGGTCACGCAGTCGTTGACGTTGATGGCCGGGAAAAGGAGCTCGCCCTTGGCCGCCATCTCGCGCAGGCGGTGCACACCCGTGGTGGTCTCCTCACTGACGCCCTTGCACTTCGCGGCCATGCGGGAGTACTTGGTCTTGTCTGCCTGGATGGAATCCTTCAGCAACTGCAAGATGCACTTGAACTCCGCGTTGGTGGTGCTAGCCGGGTCCGGCAGGCTGCCATCCTTGGCGAACTTCTCCTCATACTCCTTGCCCTTGTGGATCAAGAGGGTGGCGTCGCCGCCATCGTCCACCAGCTGGTCGCAGCCGTCTGCCCCCGGCACCGTCATCATCTGCTCCGTGCACCACCAGTACTCCGGAAGAGTCTCTCCCTTCCAGGCGAAGACCGTGGCCGTGCCTGCCTTGGCAATGCCCGCGGCAGCGTGGTCCTGGGTGCTGAAGATGTTGCACGAGCACCAACGCACCTTGGCGCCCAAAGCGGCCAGCGTCTCAATCAGGACGCCCGTCTGGATGGTCATGTGCAGGGAGCCGTTGATGTTCAGGCCCTTGAAGGGCTGCGAGGGCCCGAACTCCTTGCGGGCCGCCATGAGGCCCGGCATCTCGTGCTCCGCAAGCGTCAGCTCCTTGCGCCCGAACTCGGCCAAGCCCATGTCCTTCACCTTGGAGTCCGCCATGGTCGCCAAAGGGTCGCACAAAGGATGCTATCAAGGGAGGAGGCTGGGGAACAAAATTTTGCTGTAACCGAGCCACATTTGCCAAAGTACATACATTGGTGTAGAGCCATGTCGTGCACAGGGAGCTTTTCTTAACATCTTTGTACTGGCCATTAAAGCTCCCTCCAAGTCAGGAACCCCTCATAGTCCCTTCTGGGCAGGAACCCCTAAAGCCTAAACTACCCCTAACTACCCGAAGAGTCCAACACCCCTCAAATAAGGAATATACCTTAATTATCTCGAGATCCTGAATATGTTCTAAGTTAGAAGTTCTAAGGTGTATAGACATATATATATATATATATATGCTCACCCCCCCCCAATGGACCCACCGCGGATGGCAGCCGAGTCCTAGCCAGATCAAGGCAAAAAACAACAAAACAAGAAACTAACAAAAACCAACAAACCAAAAAAATCCAAAAAACCAAAAAAACCAAAAAAACCAAAAAAACCATCTTTTCCAAAACTATGGGGCTGGTGCCTCCAAAAGATGGTTTTTTTGGTTTTCTCGAGAAAAAGATGGTTTTTTTGGTTCGAAACCATCTTTTTCTCGAGAAAAAGATGGTTTTTGAGCAGCCGCTCTTCTAAAACCATCTTTTTCTCGAGAAAAAGATGGTTTTACCAGGACAAGACCTCCAAAAACCATCTTTTTCTCGAGAAAAAGATGGTTTCACCAGGACAAGACCTCCAAAAACCATCTTTTTCTCGAGAAAAAGATGGTTTTTCCAGGACAAGATCTCCAAAAACCATCTTTTTCTCGAGAAAAAGATGGTTTTTCGAAGAGCGGCTGCTCAAAAACCATCTTTTTCTCGAGAAAAAGATGGTTTCGAACCAAAAAAACCATCTTTTTCTCGAGAAAACCAAAAAAACCATCTCTTGAAGGCCCCAGCCCCATAGTTTTGGAAAAGATGGTTTTTTTGGTTTTTTTGGTTTTTTTGGTTTTCTCGAGAAAAAGATGGTTTTTGGTTCGAAACCATCTTTTTCTCGAGAAAATGATTGTTTTGAGCAACCATCCTTCGAAAAACCATCTTTTTCTCGAGAAAAAGATGGTTTTACCAGGAGAAGACCTCCAAAAACCATCTTTTTCTCGAGAAAAAGATGGTTTTACCAGGACAAGACCTCCGGAAACCATCTTTTTCTCGAGAAAAAGATGGTTTTTCCAGGGTAAGATCTCTAAAAACCATCTTTTTCTCGAGAAAAAGATGGTTTTTCGAAGAGCGGCTGCTCAAAAACCATCTTTTTCTCGAGAAAAAGATGGTTTCGAACCAAAAAAACCATCTTTTTCTCGAGAAAACCAAAAAAACCATCTTTTGGAGGCCCCAGCCCCATAGTTTTGGAAAAGATGGTTTTTTTGGTTTTTTTGTTTTTTTTGGTTTTTTTGGTTTTTTTGGTTTTCTCGAGAAAAAGATGGTTAAGTTTTAGGGGTTTAAGCCTCATGCACTACAGGGTTATAAGGTTCTAATCCTATAGGTATTGCCTTAACCTTTAACCCTAAACCTTTAACTTTAAACCCTGCAGGGTTAACCCCGTGAGAAATTTAGAGATAGACCCCGAAAAGACCCTAAACCTTCTTACAGGGTGTAATGGTTTAAAAACCGATAGGACATGTATACCTTCAGCGCCTGTAGGGTTCAAGCCTTTGAACGTGCTAGACCCCTATAGGGTGCTAAGGTTCTGACCCTAAAGGGTTTAGGATTAAGGCTTAAATGCCCTCTAGGTTTAAATGCCTAAGTCTTAAACCCCAAACCTTTAAACCTTCATCCTATGGGGTTTGAAGGTCAAGGGTTTAGGCTTGATTGCCGAGGGCTTTAGGGTCCTGACCCTAGAGGGTTTAGGGTTAAGGAATAGATGCGTAAACCTTAAACCCTTAAGGTTTAAACTCTATGGGCTTAGGGGGCTTAGGTTTTTTTAAACCCTAAGCCTTTAAACCTTCACACTACAGAGTTTAGAGGTGTTAAGGGTGACAAATTGATTACATACTTAGCTTTAAATGCCTGAATCTTAAACCCCAAACCTTTAAACCTTAACCCTATAGGGTTTAAAGGTTAAGGGCTTAGTGTTAATCGCTGTCTTAGGTTTAAATGTCTGAATCTTAAACCCTAAAACTTTAAACCTTCACCCTATAGGGTTTAAAGGTTAAGGGTTTAGGTTGAATCGTCAGCTTGGATTTAAATGTCTAAGTAAAGAATCCTAAACCTTTAAATCTCATCCCTATGGGGTTTAAGGTTAAGGGTTCAATATGAACTGCCGGCATAGGTCTAAATACCTAAACCTTAAACTTAAACCCTAAACCTTTAAATATCTTAACCCTATAGGGTTTAAAGGTTAGAGGCTTAGCGTAAATTGCCGGAATAGGTTTAAATGCCTAAATCTTAAGCCCGAAACCTTTAAACCTTAGCCCAACAGGGTTTAAAGGTTAAGGGTTTAAAATTAGTTGCAGGCTTAATTAGGTTTAAATGCCTACATCTTATATCCTAAACCTTTAAAAATCTTAACCCTATAGGGTTTAAAGGTTAAGGGCTTGGCTACAGGTTTAAATGGCTAAATATTAAACCCTAAGCCTCTAAACTTTAACCCTACAGGGTTTAAAGGTTAAGGGTTTAAAATTAGTTGCAGGCTTAGGTTTAAATGCCTACATCTTAAACCCTAAACCTGTAAAAATCTCAACCCGATAGAATTTAAAGGTTAAGGGCTTAGCTTTAATTACCGGCATAGGTTCAAATGCCTAAATCTTAAACCCTTAACCTTTAAACCTTAACCCTACAGGGTTTAAAGGTTAAGGTTTTTTTTTGCAGGCTTAGGTTTAAATGCCTAGATCTTAAATTATAAACAAAAGCCAACAGAAAGAAAAACCCTCCGTGCGTGTGTGAGAGGGTGAATTAAGTAATACAGTCAAAAATCCGGTCACCGGAAAATCACCAGACAGCATAGGTTTTATCGGTATTTGCGGTACTTTTGCAAAGATCAAGGCCCGCGGTGGGTCCATTGGGGGGGGGTGACCATATATATATATGTATATTCCTCACATATTTGAGGGGTATTTGGGGCTCTTTGGGTGCCCTAAACCCCTAAACCCGAACTACCGTAGCAGACTCTCGGGAAGCTCTCAAAGGCCTGAACCCACTGAACCCTAAACCCTAAACCCTAAACCTTGTAAAGAAAAAACCTCGGGCACGCAGGAGGCCTTCGGCTGCGCTTCAGCTCCGCGACATAGCTGCCCACCTCCGACGCCGAGAACTCTCCTGAGGAGGGATGTTTAGGGTTCATGAGGGCTTGAGGGGTTTAAGGTTTAGGGTTTCGGGTTTAGGGTCTAGGGTCTAGGGTCTAAGGTCTAGGGTTTAGGGTTGGAGGTGTACGAATTAAATGGGCTGAGCCATGTTGAGAGGCTCTGAGAAACCTGAACATTCGGCCTTGTCAGCATCATTCTTGCCTGGAATGCCCAAACCCTAAACCTACGCTCGGGAGGGTTCTGGACATTCAATTCCATGCAAGCGGGTACAAAAGTAGAGCTACAAGTGCCCTAATCCTAGTTCAGTTTAGGGTTTAGGGTTTAGGGTTTAGGGTTTTGGGTTTAGGGTTTAGGGTTCAGGGTTCAGGGTTCAGGGTTTAGGGTTTAGGGTTTAGGGTTTAAGGTTTAGGGTTTAGGGTTTAGGGTTTAGGGTTTAGGGTTTAGGGTTTAGGGTTTAGGTTTTAGGGTTTAGGGTTTAGGGTTTAGGGTTTAGGGTTTGGGGTTTAGGGTTTAGGGTTTAGGGCTTAGCCACCAACTGTAGTTCCTATTTTCGGGGGTCTCCAGTTCTCATACTCTAAGATGTCCTTTTTCATCGTAGGATTCCCAAAACCGCCATCTAAGGAATCTTCCATCTGTAAAATACTGCTAGATATGTGATCTTCTTAAAGTCATTTAACACCCAAGAAAGGAACCGTTACATGATAAAATAATCCCAAGGCCCTACGTCAGCGGTCAGGGTTTAGGGTTTAGGGTTTATAGGGCTTAACAAGCTCTACCTGCACCACGGACTGACCTCATTTCAGAGAGGCGGCGGAAGCGGAGAAGCTTCGAACCTCTACAAAGTTTGGCGTTTGCGGCTTAGGGTTTGGGGTTTAGGTTTAGGGTTTGGGGTTTAGGGCTTGGGGTGAGCGGCTTGGGGATTGGGGTGAAGACTCGAAATTCAGGGTGTGTAGTTTGAGGTTCGCTGAAGCTTCCGGGGCCTGGATGGGGGTTGTTTCCATGGGGAGGGATCCTTTCCAAAGCTCTCGAAGACCTAAACCCTAAACAAGCCGCAAGATCCCAAAGCGCTGAAGCTTATCGGGCAAATACCCCGAGCGCCAGATATCCCATTCATTAAGGAACATGCCTTAAATCAAATAAGGATCCTTATTCATAATAATTCATAATAATTAAGTTATCCCAAAGAGCCCAATACCCCCAAAAATCGGAATACACCTCAAAATCATGCAGGGACCCTGAATACGACAGCTTTTCGGGGGGGGGGGGGGGTTTCCCAAAGGAAGAATGAGGATACTAAGGGTCCCCGATGCGGGGACATGGCCCACATAATCCCTACTTAAGAGTAGACCCTGAAAAAAAACATATCCTTTTTAGGTATAAGTAGCTATAATGGGAACCCATGAAGCAAAAATAGTATTAAAGTATAGTACTCCTAAACCCTAAACCCAAAACCCAAAACCCAAAACCCTAAACCCTAAACCCTAATTCATGTGAGAGGCACGCATGTCTCCACCCAGGACCTCTTCCCTGTGGCGCTCCCCGGCCCTTGCCGCTGAGCTCAGGGTTCAGGGTTCAGGGTTCAGGGTTCAGGGTTTAGGGTTTAGGGTTTAGGGTTTAGGGAGTAGAGATTTGTTAGGGCTTTAGGACAAACTAAGCGTGAATCTGGGATCCTACACATTGCTGATGATCTTTCATGGCAATGGCATAACTTTGTGCAGTTTACTTGGGGTGTTGAGGGCCCAAGGGCCCTTAGGGTTGCTAGATCCGGACCCCTAAGCCCTAAACCCTGAGCCCTAAATCCTGAACCCTGAAAGTGCTTGGGTACATACTCCTTACATGTCAGGGTGCCGAAAAGGGGTCTACAATCTAGACTGCTCCCCCCATGCATGTGTTTATCCAGCGAAGAATGTTGTAGAGTTCCTACAGCGGCTGGCGGCCCCTGCGATAGATCGAAACCCTAAACCCGAAACCCTAAACCCTAAAGCCCAACGCATCAACAAGCGCCGGATGCAGCCAGGGGTAACCCTAAACCCAAAGGATCCATGTACCTATATAGTATATACTTGGGCCTTAAAGGGGTTCCTATCTAGTAGCTTTAGGGCCCAAGTGTATACTCTACAGGTACATGGATCCTTTGGGAACCCTAAGCCCCAAACCCTAAGCCCTAAATTTAGGCTAGAGGGTGCACAGAGGGATTCAAGGTTTCTGGTGCTAGGGTTTAGGGTTTAGGGTTTAGGGTCCTGTGTTTTTTTCTTCAGTTTCGGGGGGGACGCTTGGGGTGTTAAGGTGAACATTGAAACGCCCCAGAGAAAAGCCGAATGCAAAAGTATGTACCTGCGAGGGCATGTTTTGTTGAAGGTTGATTTGTTGTTTGGGCCCTAAACCCTAAACCCTAAACCTTAAACCCGGGGGGTATTTGGGCCCGGGGTGCTTCGATGTCTTGCGTTGGGGCTTGAGGGCTTCAGGGCTTGCGATCTTCTCAAACCTAACCCCTGAACCCCGACACCCCTGAACCCTCCCCTAAAACCTAAACCCTGAACCCTGGTTTAGGATTTAGGGTTTAGGGTTTAGGGTTTAGGCGAAACACTGAAAACCCTGAACCCTCAACCCTGGCTGAGGCAAGAGCGGCCACCAGTACAGTTGACCATCCAGGCAGTCGACTTCTGCTCCTCCGCAAGCAATCCAGGGTTAAAGGGTTTAGGGTTTAGGGTTTAGGTTTAGGGTTTAGGGTTCCGGGTTCCCGGTTTCGGGTTGAGGGTTCAGGGTTTAGGGTTTAGGGGTTCAGTCTGCATATACAAGGAGGGGCCCGCTTACTTTATTAACTATAGTTCAGGGACTTATAACCTAATTTGGGATCCTTAGAACCTGATTTAGGGCCCTTGTAACTCTACTTATAACTAGGAGGGGCCCTCCTTGTAAGGCAAGTCAGGTAGATAAGGCACATCAGGTATCGAAGGTCGTGACGGAATATGATAAGCTAGATAAGGTACATGAGGTGTAGAAGGTCCGAAGCGCGTAAGGCATGCTGGGGGTAAGCGTTGAGGGCCCAAAGCCCCGAGAGCCCCCCAGCCGAAATCCTTCGTCATCTTGGTCAATAGCCTCCAGCACTGCGTCCGCAGCTGAGAGCTTGCTCGCGCAAGCCTGGCTTAGGGATTAGGGCACGAGGGAAGCTGCTCTCCGGCCAGGAACATGAGCATGAACAAGTCTAGGCTCCTTTTGTGTAATTCGGTTGATACATACTTAAAAGAAGGAAGAAGAGTACTACTGAACCCTTAGCTTAGGGTTAATGTTTCGGGTTTGGGTGTTGGGGTTTAGGTTTAGAAGCTATCCCTGCAAACAAAAATGAGACGTATCCCCCAAAGGACACCCCATACCCACGCTCACCAATAGCCCTAAGGAGCCCCTACATAGACCCACCGAACCTCCATGCGAACCCTCAACTCGTCCCAAGAGTAACCTACGAATAAACAGAGTGCACTTTTTGTGGGTTTAAAGGGGCTTCTAAGGGAACCTGGACCCTAGAAAAGGAAATAAGGCCGTACTGCGGGTCCTAGAATACCCCTACCCCTAAACCCCCAAGAAAGAGAATAAGGACCTGTTAACTCACAAGGGAGGACCGATTCACGTGGCATGACGATGGGCGTTTATGGAGGACCAGAAGCAAGAGCGGGTGAAACTCCGAAACTCCGAAACCCGAAACTCGAAACCCGAAACCCGAAACCCTAAACCCTAAACCCTAAACCCTAAACCCTATCCCAAACCCTAAACCGTAATAAACCCGCCAAAAGGGACTCCATGGAAGGCGCCTGGAGCAAGTTCTCCGGGGCGGAGGCTGAAAGATTGAGCCGGTCGATTCCTGCTTCGGTTTGGTCGAGAACCCTAAACCCCTAAAATCCCTAAACCCAAGTATAAACCCTAAACCCTAACAGCCTAAAACCGTTTTGGGGCTTAGGGTGACCCTAAACCCTAAACCCTAAACTTTGGGTTCTGGGAGTCTCAATTTCCTGGGGTGAGGACCCAAGAGCCTTTGGGCTGTGATGAGAAAGACTTGAGACGTAGCCCGCTGAGGGCTTTGCGATGATCGGGGGTAGGGTTAGGGTTTTGGGGCTTGGGGTTTAGGTTTTAGGGCTTCGGGTTCCAGATTGTTGACTAAACTCTTACAAGTAGGTCCGGCGGTTTAGGGTTTAGGGTTTAGGGTATATGGTTTAGGGTTTAGGGTTTAGGGTTTACAACCCATGAAACCGAAGTCCCAGGCAGACCGTGGGTGCTTCAGGCTCATCCGGGGGCTTAGGGCTCAGAAGCTCGGGGCAACCCTAAACCCTTTTCCCTCAAGCCCATAGTACACCCAGGCAGCGCAGTGGTCCTGAATTAAGGAATATACCTCAAAGTATATAAGCAACCTGAATATGGTGGTTTACGAAAATCGCGGGGAACCCCAAAAATAGACCCCCAAATAGGAGGAGTCCCTTATAAAAAGGACCTCCATCATCCTCTTCCCTAGTATTAAACGGGGGGGGCCACACCCCCCCCCCCAATAGAAACTCGAAATGTGTCTTATTGTCAGGGGGAAGTCTTTATCCAAATGTCATGGAAATGACTGGGAGGGAAAGGAGGGCTGGGAGGAAGGGAGGGACGGGAGCTTCAGGATGCTGGTTGGCTTGAGGGTTTTGGGAGCCCTGACCCCCCCCCCTGATTCGGAATAGGGTTTCAAAGGCGGGGTCGGTTTCGGCAGGATTTTCTGGAAAATGTTTTTATGATTGGGGCGCGCTTAATAAAAAAGGGGGAAGGGGTTAAGGTACCCCTAAGGTTACCCCTGATTTCGGAAACCCTCGTCTGATTGCAGGGACTTTGGGTTTGGGGTTTAGGGTTTAGGGTTTAGGGTTTAGGGTTTAGGGTTTAGGGTTTAGGGTTACCCTAAACCCTAAACCCTATACTCCTTATTAATTTAAAGGGTATTGGGGCGCCCTCGGGCCTTCTGCGAGCACGCACATCTGCCCCCGAGCGTGACTGCCGTGGCCTCACATGGAAGCCCGAAAAGCCCACATGTCCCTCAATTAGGAATTTTGGGGTTTAAGGTTTAGGGTTTAGGGTTTAGGGTTTAGGGTTTAGGGTTTCAGGTTTAGGGTTTTCAGGGGACATACATTCCTTGCATTGCAAAAGCGGGGACCCGAAGAAGAGGCAAGGAGCTTTCCCGAATAACAAATATTGGAGTTTCGGGTTTTTTTTTCACATGCAGGGGCCTGGTTATTTGCAATGGGTCTTTTGGGCAATTGATACTCTGATCATATAGAGATAGAGGGGGGGATGAGTGAGGGGATGACTTTGCTGTCTCATGAAGTCGCCTGTATGAGAGCTTGAACTTCACAGTCGTCACGGCTTGGCGAACACTAAACCTTAAACCCCTCAACCTGAACACACTATAGACGAAAGCCGCCCTAAAACCTAAACCCTGAACCCTAAACCCTGAACCTGAACGCACTAGAGCCATCATGGAGCATGGGCCTTGGTGTCTGAATCTAACAGGGCCGGTTTGAACCCCCAGTATCGCAAGGGATAGGGGTGCATTAGGGCTAAGCGGTTTAGGGTTTAGGAGTTAGGAGGGTGCTGCAAAGCATGGCCGAGACTACCACTTGCTTGAGAAACCCCTTCAGAAAATGAGAAACAACCTTCCTTATAAGGGCGATATAGGGACCAGGTTTTTTGTGGTTCTGAAGCAAATACTAGTAGTTGCCCTCGATTCTGTAGTCCTAGTGCAGTCCCGCGGCACACGAAGTCCAGAAATTCCGCCACGTCCCGCGCGATTATGGGTGACCTCGGCATAGGGAGAAGGCAGGAGCAAGGCGGGCCCTCTTTTATGAGGGTTTTGGGTGCACAAGTAGGTCCTGCCGGCCTTGGGTTCACGGCTTCATCCCAAACCCTAAACCCAGCATCACCAGGAAGCCTCTCATCCGCGAACGACAGATTCAGCTAGCTTGTCTTGGCGTGGTGACGAACGCCATTGTAGCGAGGATCCCAGACGAGCAACGAAATTGTAGGTGACAAAGCGTACTCCCTCGATTTCAAAAAGTCGGAAGTGCACCCATCTGCTGCTGCTCGCAGGGGCAAGGGAGAAACGTTTGGAACCCCAAGCAACGACAAGCAAACCCTCTAAACCCTAACATCCCGAGACTAACGCGCGATGACCCTAAACCCTAAACCCTGAACAATAAACCTTAAAATGTCATCCTCTCACCCAACAAAAGAGATCAAAGTGCAACATCTCAATGGCCTACGAGCCCATCGTCCTACAAGCCAGGGGTCTTCGGAGCCCTCGGGTGGTACCCTGGGCTTGGGGACGCTTTTTAAAGATCCCTGAGGCTCTATAAGGCAATATGAAGGGCCATACTAGGAGTATAATATCAGCTTTTAAGGGAAACCTGTAGGGGTACAACCCTTGGGGGTACGAGTCGTAACCCATTGGTACAAGCCTTGCCACAGCCCTGATGGAACTGAAAACCCAGGCTGAGCCCCTCCGCGCCCCTCCTCAAGCCCCGCAAACCCCTCCTAAGACCCGAGAACCTCCTCTCAAACCCCAAACCTAGCCAACCTCCTCAACCCTAAACCCTAAACCCTAAACCCTAAACCGCTTGGGGCTGCGCTTCGACGCATCGCCAAGCACCGACAGCGGCCAACCGCTCGCCACAGATACGGCTTCCAGGTCCATCTGATGGATTTTGGAGTTTTTTAAGGGTTTTGTTTCCAGGGTTTGAGGATTTTCTAAGGGTTGTTTTGGGTTTTTAGGGGTCCATCTGCGATTTCAGGGCTTTGCTAGGGTTTTAAAGGGCCCATCTGGGATCTAGGCTTTTTTGGGGCATTTAGGGGTCTTTGGGCTTTGAGGGTGGTCTTTGTAGGGTTTTGTGGGTCCCTAAACCCTAAACCCTAGACCCTAAACCCTAAACCCTGAACCCTAAACCCTAAACCCTAAACCCTAAACCCGTTGATGGTTAGGGTTTGGGTTCAGGGTTCAGGGTTCAGGGTTCAGGGTTCAGGGTTCAGGGTTCAGGGTTCAGGGTTTAGGGCTTAGGGTTTTAAGGTTTGGGGTTTGGGGTTTGGGGTTTGGGGTTTAGGGTTTAGGGTTTAGGGTTGGGTAGCTGCTGTTTCTTAGGGCATATAGTGGAAAAAAACAATTCCCAAGTATCCCAAGGAAGAGAAGCTTACTGAAGATGATGAAATTCAGAACTTGGCTCTTCCATTTGATGGAGGTGTAGTTTCCTTGGCCAACAAACAGGTTGATAGCTTTGCCTGATTATGCGTTCTAACCGCTTTGTATGATTTCTACAGGGGAAGACTCCTATACCGCCCAGGAACTTGACGGAAGACTGCATGCGGATTTTCCTAGATCCAGGAGCAACCTGGGAATTAAAAGGGTACCCTTTTTGGTTTTAAGGGGATTATAAGGGAACCCCAACCCGAAAAAAAAGGAAATAAGGGCCTACTCCGGGTCCTAGTTTCGGTGGGCTGATACATTCGTCTAAGTTGGCAAATGCTGTATTTACGTCTTTCCTAGAACCCTCGAATCGAAGAACCCTTGAACCCTACATAAAGCCCTACGCCCGAAAGCCTAGGGTTCGGGGTTTAGAGAGGGGTTCAGGGGGGTTTAGGGTTTAGGGTTTAGGGTTTAGGGTTTAGGGTTTAGGGTTTAGCACAGCATGCGCTCTCCAGCCAGGCCTGGTCGCAACTGCGCGGAGGCCACAGAAGGAGCGGTCACCCCCATGGCTTTGCTTGAAAGTTCATGGTACTTACAAACCAATTATAACTGTACTTATAACCCTACTTTTAATACCCCTAAAGGGCCTTATAGGGGTTATCCCAATTATAAGTAGGGTTATAAGCCCAGTTATAATTGGTTAGTAAGTACCATGAACCTTCAAGTGGGGTTTAGGTGCGAAGGCTCAAGGAGTCGCCCCAAAGTGTCGCCAGAAGCTGAAGTTTAGGGTTTAGGGTTAGGGTTTAGGGTTTAGGGTTTAGGGTTTAGGGTTTAGGGTTTAGGGTTTAGGGTTTAGGGTTTAGGGTTTAGGGTTTAGGGTTTAGGGTTTAGGGTTTAGGGCTTAGGGCTTAGGGCTTAGGGCTTAGGGCTTAGGGCTTAGGCTTTAGGTGTCGCTTCTTGTTGGCCAGAGTTTGCAGGCTGGTAAGGGTTTAGGGGCTGCCTCAAGAACCCAAGACCTACTTCTTTGTAGGGCTCCCAAAAATCCGATCCGGGGGTTTTAGACTAAGAGCCTACAAAAGAAGTGGTTGTTGGCTTCGTAGGGTTTAGGGTTGGAGCCAGCTTGGTTGATGACAGGGGTTCCTTGGGTGGTTTGGGGTTCCGAGGTTCACAGACGATGAGTGCTGGGATTCCCTTTGGTAACCCTCTTGAAGTTTCAGGGTAACGATGTAGCAACTTTTGGGAGTGTACTGCAAGCTTACACTGCTGCAGCGCGTAACCAAACTCCCACGATATCACATTCGGTGTGCGGTGTTGATTGGCTGGCGCTTGCTTGCTTGCAGGTTGTCATATCAGAAGTTAGGCCCAATCTCGCTGCAATCCTTCGACAAGCTAAGCGAGTGGACTTGCCAGGCCAAAATGCAAAGGCCCTAAACACTAAAAGCCCTAAAACTAAAACCATAAAGCCATGAAAACACCAAATCCGCTGAACCCTAATTAGAACCATAAATCAATGGACCCTATAACGCATATATCTCTAAACCCCTAAAGCCCAGGGCTCGGACTGGGTGGCCGAAAGGTGCTTGGACCATCTCAGAACTTTCTAGGGCCATGAAGGGAGGGGGTTCGGGGGTATGTAAACCCAAAACTCTAAACCCTAAACCCTGATACTCCCGATTGCGCCCTGAGGCTCCCCCAATCTTCCCGAAGGCTCCCTAGGTACCTACCCGCCATGAACCCCTTCCCTTAAGTACCCTAAACCCTAAACTCTAAACCCTAAACCTTGAACCCTTCAGCTATAAGAGCGTCAGGGTGTGTGCAGAAGGTGGGGGGATGCGGTGGGGTGTAACGGGCCCCCCCCATGTTTTTCTAGGGTTTAAGGGGGTCTCGTGAGCCCTTATGCCCCTGAAGCAACGAACCTTCCTTCAGTAGACCAGAAATCTCTTAAAGCTTACTTGAAGGTTCATGGTACTTACTAACCAATTATAACTGTACTTATAACCCTGCTTATAATACCCCTAAAGGGCCTTATAGGGGTTATTATAAGTAGGGTTATAAGCCCAGCTAGAATTGGTTAGTAAGTACCATGAACCTTCAAGTAGACCTTTAACAAGACCCCTGACATGATTTCAGGAGTTCACGAAACGTCCGCGAACCCACGAATAAGATCCCGAAGGTGATTTCAGGAAGGGTTTCCCGTAAGCTGATACATCTCCTCTTATAACATAGGGTGTGTTGCCCTTAACCCTAAGCCCTAGAATATATAAACCCTCTAAACCCTAAACCCTATGCCTATAAACCCTAAACCCTAAACCCTAAAAACCCTAAACACTAGAAACTAGAAACCCTAAAAACCCTAAACCCCAAACCCTAAACCTCAAACCCTACAAACCACTAAGCTTTGGAATTATCTGGGCCCCCGGCTGTCCTGCCCTGCGCCCAGCGGCCGCACCTGGCCAATACTGCCGTCTGGGAACTCTTGGGATAGGGTTTGGGGTTTGGGGTTTGGGGTTTCGGGTTTAGGGTTTAGGGTTTGGGGTTTAGGGTTTAGGGTTTAGGGTCTGGGGTTTAGGGTTTGGGGTTTAGGGTTTGGGGTTTAGTGATTAGGAATAGGGTTTAGGGCTTAGGGCTTAGGGCTTCGGGCTTAGGGCTTAGGGTCCGAAGGCAATAAAGCCTGAACTGGGAACATGTTGCTTTGTCTTATTCGGATTTGCAGGGCATCCAGGTGCTTAAGAAGGGGACGCGGCATCACTGGACGGACAGCTACCCTACGCCTCCCCGAGAACCCGGTGCGCGACGAAGTTGGCAATTGAAACCGTCTAAAGCATGTCGCCTATGATGACAAAGCCCATAACGAAAAACCCAAAATGCCTAGTTGAGTAGCTGGGAGCTATTCAGGGCGAACACCCTAAACCCTAAACCCTCAGCCCTAAGCCCTAAGCCCTAAGCCCTAAACCCTAAACCCTAAACCCAAAACCCAAAACCCAAAACCCTAAACAAACCGCTGCAAAGGCGCTGTGTCACTGTCGGCGAAGAAGGAAGCATCGGGCGGCGCCCGAGCCGACCCCTCGACGGTAGAAGGGTTTAGGGTGTAGGGTTCAGGGTTTAGGGCTTAGGTTTTGGGGTTTAGGGTTTAGGGTTTGGGGTTTTGGGTTCAGGGTTTGGGGTTTAGGTTCAGGGTTTTAGAGTTGTTATGCTTAAGGCTTCGTCAGGGCAGTTACGCGCACGGGGGCATATCTGATAATGGCGTGGCCGGCTTCTCTTTGCGGAGCGGGAGAGGGAGGGAGGGAGGGAGGGAGGGAGGGAGAGAGAAAGAGAGAGAACGTGCTTGTGGCGTCGTGCCTGGCGCAAAACTAAAGCTTTGCGCTGCCCATTCTGGCCCCCCCCTCTAAGCCCGAAACCGTAAACGCTATAGGGTTTAGGGTTAAAACCATAGAAGCAACATCGCAAAACCCAAGCCCTAAATACAATACAACCTGCATACCTCAAACCGTAAATCCACCACCACTATAGACGTTGACCCTAAAGTTGTATGAGTGGGCTATATAAGTACAGTTCCAATTTGCTTAATAAGTACCATGAACCTAAACCCTAAACCCTAAAAACCTAAAGTAAGTTCTTGCCTCTTTGGGGCGTAGCGGGCTGTGTTCGACAGCCTCCTTATAACTTCAGGGTGTAGCAACCCCAGGAGCCTGATACCGAGTACACAATAAGTGATTTTAAGGATCCCTTTCTAACTTAAGGCATATTCCTTAGTTCAGGGGTATCGGGCTCTTTAGCAAGTTGGGGCTTAGGCTTCAGGATTTGTAGTCATGTAGTACTCAACAGAATGGCAGGCAGCTAGGGGCGAGGCCACTTGCACCAGGCTCGGGCCGCGCGCCTGGCAGGTTTAGGGTTTAGGGTTAAGGGTTTAGGGTTAGCAAGTTTAAAGCTTGTCAAAAAAGTCCGCTACCCGTTTTGCTAAGACCTATGAGCCCTAAGCCCTAAACACCAAACCCTAAACATCTGCAATTCCCCTCAACCCTAAGCCCTGAACCCTGAAACCCTGATTGCTTGAACGGCCTCCTGCCAACTTTGCAGCTTTGCTTGCTCTCCTGAACCCCAAACCCTAAACCATAAACCCTAAACCCCGCTGTTGCCCAAGAGGGTTTAGGGGCCCTCCTACAGCATGCGTAACCCCAAGCAACTCCCACCCTGGACTCATATGCGACAGCAAGCCGCAACATACCCAGAGGCTCCAATAACCCTTACCGTATGAGGTAATGTAGAGTTTAAGGCTTCGGGTTTAGGGTTTCTTGATAGTCCTTAAACTGTAATCCCTTACATAAAAAAAGGAAAATCTGTAAACTGCAGCCCCTTACATTAATACCGAAATATTCCTTAACTGTAAACCCTTAGACAAATAAGGCAAATATTCTGTAAACTGCAAGAGGCGTCCGATCAGGATTTAACGGTGCCTACAGCTGGGAGGGGTTTGTATGCTGGCCATCCTTCCGCCAAAAAACCCTAAACCCTAAACCTAAACCCTAAACCTAAACCCTAAACCCTAAACCCTAAACCCATACATACATACATACATACATACATACATACATACATACATACATAGCATATACTTATTCCGAGATTACTAATAGCCCAGTCAGCAGGAAGTCGATGATCCCTGCAAGCTGGAGCTGGACGACGGGCGGGAGAGACAGGAACTGCAGGCACTGCTGGGTTTAGGGTTTAAGTAGTATAGGGTTCAGGGTTTAGGTAGTAATTGTAGGGGGTTTAGGGTTTATGGTTTAGGGTTTTGGACTAATGCACAACCATCAAACGCCACCAGAGCATCAGCGTCTTCCAGCCCCTGCAATGTTGTTCCACGCACCGTCGATGAACACCGTCAGGCCACACTCGCTCAGCCTCCTTCATGCGCTGGAAGGACCATAGCTTTGTCCACATGGTGGTGCTCTTGACACAAGGCTGAAGCTGCGGCGCCGTACGCCTCGCAGGTTTAAAGTTTAGTCTTTAGGGTTTCGGGCTTACTTAGGACCTTAAACCTGAAACCTTTTTGAATCCTAAGCAAGAACCCTAACCCTAAACACCTCTACCTGACATGCAAACGAACAAGACAGCCCAGAACCGTCGATGGTAGTAAACATATGCTTTAGGGTTTATAGGGTGTAGGGTGTAGCTTAAACTTAAAGCTGCGGACATGTGCGCCTCTAAGGCGGATGCAGGGAGTGCCAACACGAGAAGTGAGGCAAGTACCTGACAGCGACCAGAAACCCAAAGTCCGAAACCCTGGAACCTACACCCCAAACCCTAAACCCTAGACCCTACACCCTACTTTGCAGGTTTAGGGGTGTGTAGGGCTTTACCTAGGGCTGTAGATCGTTGGTAATACTCCCTAAACCCGATGCAGTGGGGGCAGAGTTGATTCTTCCCTCTGATTAAACAAATCCTAAGGGTTTAGGGTTTAGGGTTTAGGGGTTATAGGGTTAACCCTGAACCCTCAACCTCCAAAGCCCCTAAATGCTCTAACTTTTTCGAGGTCTGTTTACAGTCAAAGAGTTTAGCTCCTCGTGATGTGCAGAAATGTGTCGCCTGTGTTCGTGCCTCTTGCCTTTAGGCTCTTGCGGTCTTGACGTACCTGAGGAACCCAAGACGGGGTTAGGGTTTAGGGTTTAATTAGGGTTTAGGGTTTAGGGTTTAGGGTTTAGGGTTTAGGGTTTAGGGCAAAAGGCACTCCTGAAGGGGACCTTAATTCAAAAGCACTGGCGCATGCTTTGAGGGTCAACTCGGTTTGGACAGGTCGTACTGCTTCAAAGATGACGAGGGCACCGGAAGAGCGATCGCACGGCTAGAATCAGAATCCCTGTAAGTAGCATATATATATATATGTGTGTATATGTAGGGAGAGAGAGAGAGAGAGATACATATATATATATATATATATACGTATACATATATAGATATTGATATCATGTAATTATATATATATACATATATGTATATGCATCATATTGATATATTGATCCGTAGATAAACCTAAGCAAATGCGCTCATTCCCGAATCCCGACGAACCCGGCCGAGAGTACACTGGCCCAAAGGGTCTGATTTAAGGTGCATCCTTTCCCTAAGATCCCAATACCCCTAATTCAGGAAGGGCTCTTTAAGCGTATACGGCTGCTCTCTGCAACTAGGCCCTTGTAAATCGAAAACGAGAAAAACAAAAAAACACAAAAACCTATAAACCTTCTACCGGGCCCCGGGCCATCGTTCGTCTGCGTCTCTGATGCGCCATGGTATTTCGCTACCAGGAATCTGCACGGCTAAGCCAACGGTGTCAGGGCTTGGAGTCGCAAAAACCATGCCCAAAGCCGCCCCCCCCCCCCGCCCCAACAAAAAAGGAAAGGAAAACCAGGGCCCTAAAACCATCAAACCCTCCAACGCACCATGAAGCCCTAAAGCCCGAAAAAAAAAAAAAAAAAAACGCTAAAGAATGCTCAAGCCCTAAAACACTCAGGCCCTGTACAACCCGGATTGTAGGGTAGGGGTTATTGGGTTTCTACGGCCTATTGGGGGGTGAACACGGGCAACCGAGCGTCATTCGATATCGATGCCACTGCTACCTTTCTCAAATATCCATTCAACACACACGTCAGAGACAGATTTTTGTTGCTGGCATTTCCGTCAGGACACTCAGCCCAACATGCACTGAGGAAGACACCTACACTCATCATAGCCCTAAACCCTAAACCCCTAAACTTAAACCTGAAACCCTAAACCCAGAGCAACAACCTAGCCCTAATGCTTCGGCTATTGCTAGAATGCGCGACATGGTCCTGACACGTGCCAACCAAACCCTGCCACCGCAAACATTCGGTCGCGCTAAGCCCGAAATCTTGGTAGCCCAGTATCCATATGGGGGTTTCCGATAGTAGGGGTAGCTTGTTGGGTCCTTATGAGAAGGGAATCCTATTCTTCGGGGGTTTGCATTAGGGGTCTCCTATTTTCGTAAAGCCCCATTACACAACAAGGGTATACCCTTTGTGTTGTAGGTTACTTGAATATGGGAACCCTACAACCCAAAAAAATCCAGGGCAAAAGGGTACCACCGTGCTACCAAGAAATGGCGCGCAGCCTTCGCCTTTCTCTCGGTAGCTGCAGCGGTCGGTGCGACACCCTCGGGATCCGCGCCCGGGAGATGAAGAGCACAGCGCCAAGGGGATGTCCACCGGTAGCTGGCTTAGAACACTGGGTGCTCAACAAACAGCAACTCTCATCTACTATTTGCTTTCAGAAACCCCTCCTCCCAAAAACAACAACAAACATGAAAGATGCTAGTCTCAATATAAGGATGAATATTTCATTTTTGGGGGAGTTCGTAAAGCAAATAGCAGTCATGTCCTGATTTTTCGGGTGTGAGACGGGGGACGGGCCGGGATGCTTAGTAGCGGTAGGTGTCGGGCTTGAAGGGGCCCTCGACCGGCACGCCGATGTAGTCGGCCTGCTCCTTGCTGAGCTTGGTCATGCTGGCGCCGAGGGCCGGGAGGTGGAGGGCGGCCACCTTCTCGTCCAGCTTCTTGGGCAGCAGGTACACGTCGTTCTTGTACTTCTTGGCCTTGGTGCAGTTCTCCAGGATGTCCAGCTGTGCCAGGACCTGGTTGGTGAAGGAGCAGGACATCACGAAGGAGGGGTGGCCTGTGGCGCAGCCCAGGTTCACCAGGCGGCCGGAGGCCAGCACGATGACGCCGTGGCCATCCGGGAACACGAAGCGGTCGACCTGCGGCTTGATGTTCTCAACCTTGATGCCCGGGGACTTCTCGAGGTCCTCCATGGCGATCTCGTTGTCGAAGTGGCCGATGTTGCACACGATGGCGTTGTTCTTCATCTTCTTCATGTGCTCCAAGGTGATGATCTTGAAGTTGCCCGTGGCGGATGTGAAGATGTCCACCTCGCCCACGACCTCCTCGAGGGTCACCACCTGGAAGCCCTCCATGCACGCCTGCAGCGCGCAAATGGGGTCGATCTCCGTGATCAGCACTCGGGCACCGGCGCCGCGCATGGCGAAGGCGCAGCCCTTTCCGACATCGCCGTAGCCCGCCACCAGGGCGCGCTTGCCACCGATCATCACGTCCGTGGCACGCATGATGCTGTCCGGCAGCGAGTGGCGGCAGCCGTAGACGTTGTCGAATTTGGACTTGGTCACGCAGTCGTTGACGTTGATGGCCGGGAAAAGGAGCTCGCCCTTGGCCGCCATCTCGCGCAGGCGGTGCACACCCGTGGTGGTCTCCTCACTGACGCCCTTGCACTTCGCGGCCATGCGGGAGTACTTGGTCTTGTCTGCCTGGATGGAATCCTTCAGCAACTGCAAGATGCACTTGAACTCCGCGTTGGTGGTGCTAGCTGGGTCCGGCAGGCTGCCATCCTTGGCGAACTTCTCCTCATACTCCTTGCCCTTGTGGATCAAGAGAGTGGCGTCGCCGCCATCGTCCACCAGCTGGTCGCAGCCGTCTGCCCCCGGCACCGTCATCATCTGCTCCGTGCACCACCAGTACTCCGGAAGAGTCTCTCCCTTCCAGGCGAAGACCGTGGCCGTGCCTGCCTTGGCAATGCCCGCGGCAGCGTGGTCCTGGGTGCTGAAGATGTTGCACGAGCACCAACGCACCTTGGCGCCCAAAGCGGCCAGCGTCTCAATCAGGACGCCCGTCTGGATGGTCATGTGCAGGGAGCCGTTGATGTTCAGGCCCTTGAAGGGCTGCGAGGGCCCGAACTCCTTGCGGGCCGCCATGAGGCCCGGCATCTCGTGCTCCGCAAGCGTCAGCTCCTTGCGCCCGAACTCGGCCAAGCCCATGTCCTTCACCTTGGAGTCCGCCATGGTCGCCAAAGGGTCGCACAAAGGATGCTATCAAGGGAGGAGGCTGGGGAAACAAAATTTTCGCAAATGCTCGAGCACGGCGAAGGGGGTGCCGACACCTCGAAGTGCTACACGGCCCCTGAGGTGCTGGCCTGCTATGAACCTCTTAGGCCTTAAAACCGCCAAAAGAGCCCCCAACAGATTATATATATATATATATACATATATAGATAGATAGATATACATATCTGTTTATCCATTTTCTACTTACTTACTGCTTAAGCTCTCTGTCTGTATATATATATATATATATATCTATATATATATATATACTGAACCGAGCTTCGCGTCGATTCAGAGGGCTTGTGGCTGGCTAGACCCTCCTGAACCCCCCGACCCCCCCCCCCCCCCCAGTTGTAATTTTGGAACTACCCAAGAGAGCCCTACCCCTACAAGGAGGGGCCCCCCTAGTCATAAGTAGAGTTATAAGGGCCCTAAATTAGGTAAGAACGATCCGAAATTAGGTTGTAAGTAGAGTTATAAGGGCCCTAAATTTGGTTATAAGTAGAGTTATAAGGGCCCTAAATCAGGATAGAAGGATCCTAACTTAGGTTATAAGTCCCTTAACTATAGTTATTACAGCAAGGGGACCCCTCCTTGGACCCCTAAACAAGGCATATGCCTTGAATCAACAGGGTCTCTATATAAATTAGGATATTTCTCTCTTGAAGAGTATTGGGCTCTCTGGGTAATTGTGTACTATACGCACTTACACCCTCAAAAAAGCGCGCCGCAATTAGAGAGGTCCAGGTTGAATGCAAAACTCAGAAGCATTTCTACCCCTAAACCCTAACCTCCCTAAACCCTAATCTCCCTAAACCCTAAACCCTAAACTTAAACCCCACACCCCTAAAACCCCTAAAACCACTAAACCCTGAGTGGCGCAGCGGCTCGCGGCTTGTACTCAGAGGGGCGAAGTCGGTTTAGGGTTTAGGGTTTAGGGTTTAGGGTTTTTAGGGTTTAGGGTTTACGGTTTATAGGGTTTAGGGTTTAGGGTTTCAGGGTTCAGGGTTCAGGGTTCAGGGTTTAGGGTTTAGGGTTTAGGGTTTAGGGTTTAGGGGTTTGGGTGTAGGTTTTAGGGCAGCAAGTCCAATAAGTGGGCCCCTTCAAGGGTCCTTATGACTCTACTTTGTACCTGCTTACCATGTTCCCCGAGCCTCCCGGTATGATTAAGGACCGAAACTTTCGAGTTCAGGTTTCGGGCTCTATGATCCTAGAACCCTACCATCGGAACCTAAACCCTACCTTCTGCAGGCTACACATGCACCCAACGAGAGGTGTCATAGCACCAACCTGCAAAAGGCTTGCGGCTCTTAAGGTATACCCGAATAAAAGGCCAAAAACCTGTTCTAAAACCTCAGCCTCATACCCTAGAGGCCCTAGCCCAAAAGGCCTTTAAAAAAACATCCCTCCACTCAGAGGAAATCCGGCTTCTTCAGGCGTTGGGCATCAGACCCTCCCGTGGGAGAAGTGGTTGATGCCTAGGAGGGTCCGAAGCCTAGATCCAAGAGTACCCTAGGAATAAAAAGGGGGCCCTCTTGGGCTTCAGGGGCGTCTAAAGGAACCCAAACCTTAACAAATAAAAAACGGGCCTACTTTGGCTCCAAGTAAGCCCCAAAGCCCAAACACCTACAGTAGAGTGGCCGACCCTATGCCGAACTCGATTCAAACCCTATCAAAAAAGCCCAATTGCCAATGCCCCCCGTAGTTGTGGAAAGTAATTACCTTAAATCAGATAAAGGATTCCCAAACCCCAAGCTACAATACACAAACTAGAAGGTAGTATTTCTACAAAAATCACCCTCCTTACAACCCTGGCCCTGTGCCCCCTATTTGAGGGCTTCCGAATATTTGGGGCCCCATAGCTGTGGATCTTTTCAAGCAGGGATCCTCCTTTGTTTTGGGGTGTAGAACTACAGGAAGACCCTGGAGACTTCCTTTTCAAGCCATGCTTGTTCGGGGCCGGCTGCCGCTTGCTTCCTTGCGGAGGGCGACGACGGAGTTCGTTAAGACTGGAGGACCCAGATCTTCCAAAACCCCTTAATTAAGGAATGTACCCTAATGTTTACTAAGGATCCTTCTTATGAAATGGGGTATATTCCTTTATTTAGGGGTGTTTTAAGGCACATACCCTAACCCACACTAAGGAACCTTCTTATGAAATGGGGTATATTCCTTTACATAATTGTTTTATAAAGAACAACTCTATACTAAGGATCCTTCTTATGAAATGGGGTATATTCCTTTAGTAAGGAGTTTTGGAAGATCTGGGAACATGCCCCCGGAGTGGGACGTCCGTTGAACTCCACGGAGTCGGATGCGAGTTAGGGTCGGTTTCGGGTTTAGGGTTAGGGTTTTAGGGTTTAGGGTTTTAGGGTTTAGGGTTTTGGCAAAGCCCTCAAAACCTGAAATGGAAAGTGTGTTCATACGCATAGGAAGCTTCTAAGACCTGGGCCCTGAGTACGCCACTGGCAAGTTGCAATGTGGGGCATTTTTGCTCTCTGAGGATCCAACTTACGACTTGGTGGCTTTCGGGCGTTTCAGGCCTAAGGCTTAAAACCAGAGACCCTAAATCCAGGCGTGCGGGGGGGGGGGGTTTTAGGGTTTTAGGGTTTTAGGGTTTTAGGGCTTTAGGTGTAGGGGTCTTTACACTCGCAGTGCCAACGTGCAAAAAGCAGGAATCAACGGCGACGTCACTATTTAAAATTGTCGAGGCCTCGATCAGCTCAGGATGTGGGCACTAAACTTGGGTCCCTGGTAGGGTTTAGGGTTTAGGGTTTAGGGTTCAGGGTTCAGGGTTCAGGGTTTAGGGTTTAGGGTTTGGGGTTTCGGGGTTTAGGGTTTAGGGTTTAGGGTTTAGGGTGTCAGGTTTAGGGTTTAGGAGCCTTATATGTAGGTAGACAAAAAGGGGCCCGAACTATGAGAATCCCCCATGTGCCACACCGGTACGAATCCCAGAGCTTTCGAAGCAACCATCTCTGGACTGGTCTACTGACTGGCCTGCACACTTCGCACATTAAACTCGCATGTGCGGCAATTGATCCTAGCAGAGCTTTCACCCGCAAAAACTGAGATTGGGTCTTGAATACTTAAATCCCAAAGACACAAACCCTTGTCATGCTGCTCAAGAAACCCTAAACCCTAAACCCTAAACCCTAAACCCTAAGTCCTAGGCCCTAAATTCAAAAAGCGGCAGAAACGGAGCCGATCCAGGATTCCGGCAGGGGCTGGCTACACCGCAGTGTCGACACAAGTTAGGCGCGTTGAGGGCTCAGAGCTGAGGAGACCTCGAAACCCTGCGCAGCTGAGTTTAGGGTTTAGGGTTTAGGGTTTAGGGCTTAGGGTTTAGGGTTTAGGGTTTAGGGTTTAGGGTTTAGGGTTTAGGGTTTAGGGTTTAGGGTTTGGGGTTTAGGGTTTACCCAAAGGCTCCTATGCAGTACCTTTTTGGGGAAGTATCCTAGAATCCCTTATAACTAACCCCAAAAGGAAGTACTTTTTTGGGGAAGTATCCTAAGAATCCCTTATAACTCACCCAAAAAGGAACTACACTGGAGCCTTTGGGGAAAAAACCCTACAAGACATTAGGGTCGTTAAAGTTAAGGTACATGGTAGCCCGGTGACCATGGTTGTAACAAGGGCAATTACCCTTTTTGGGGTTGGATACTTCACAAGGGAACCTTGAACCAGAACAAAATCACAAAAGAAGGTTTATGGCTTAAGGCTTCATAAAGGCTTGAGATGGTCTACCCAAAGGCTCCAATGTAGTACCTTTTCGGGGTAGTAACCCAGACACCACAATGGAGCCTTCTGGTAGGGTATTTAGGGCTTACGATGTCAGGTCCTAAGGGGTAATCCAGCTCGGTCCAGAGCCCAAAACTCCTCAAGACGGCCTTTGCAAACCCCGAGGGCTGCGCATCAACGGTTGCCCTTTGGGGGTGGGTTTAGGGTTAAGGGTTTAGGGTTTAGGGTTAAAGGTCAAGGGTTTAAGGTTTTTCCCCTCCCTGCCCCCCCCCCCCCATGGCCATGGCACTCCTCATCTTCGCTCGAGGGCCGAAACCCTAAAGCCCTGGATACAGCAATTATAGGGTTCACTTGTCATAAATTCCAAAGGGGTATTCCGGTGTCCCCAAGAATTTGCGACTTAGAGTACGCAATACTTGGGGGGCACGCTTTTGGGGGAGGCTTTTGCCGGCCGCAGGAGTTAGTTCCTGCCCAAACATGCAGCCCTAAACCCTAAGACGTCCTGGCCCGAATCCTGACATGCAGATGGCGGTCCTCTTAGAGGACCTGAAAGCACTGGCGCGCGCTGCGTGACACGTCGAGTCTTACGCCCGAGCTGTCGAAACAGGGCTTCGAAGCCTTTAGGGGCTTAGGGTTTAGGGTTTATGGGAGCTTCAGCGCTTCCAGTCTAGGGTTCAGGGGTTTTTTTTTGTAGATTAGCGTCCAGAGATGCTTTAAGCCCTCTCCGCCTAGCACTCACATACCTGCCTGCCCTGCTTTGTCGACAGCTCCGTCTGCGGTGTCGGTTGCGCTGGAGGGGCTTCTTAGGCATCGAACCCTTTGCTTCTGGGCCGTGGGTACTTGAAGGTTCATGGTACTTACTAACCAATTATAACTGGGCTTATAACCCTACTCATAATTGGGATAACCCCTATAAGGCCCTTTTGGGGTATTATAAGTAGGGTTATAAGCCCAGTTATAATTGGTTAGTAAGTACCATGAACCTTCAAGTAGAGGCTATGGCATGACTCGCTGAGTTACAGGTGCGATAGGGTTCAGGCTTGAAGTCTTCCAGGGTTCGGTGTGAACCCTAGACCCTAAACCCTAAAACCTTAACCCAAAGTCCTAAGTGGCGTTTACGATTGGTTTAAGGGGTTTCAGTTTCGGGTCTACCGTTGAGTAAGACCTTGTGGTCTGCAGACCCACAGGTTCTGCAAAACCCTCAACTCTAAACCGAATCC